AGGGTCAACACACTGACCAGCGGTACATCCACCAACACCAACGTCTGGAACACTCGTGCACAGCCACAACAGCCACCCGCTCTCACAGAGCAAAATTTCCCGAATCTGTCAATTCCGAATCAGACATTACACGAAAGTGTTGCAGAAGTCCAGCAAATGCAAAAGAGCAGAAAACACTTACTTTCGGAATCTGTTCACCAGCTATACAGTTTTACCGAGGTCCAGCTGAAAACCATCGTGAAGATCATGGCAGAGACCATTATCAATTGCCTACAGATGACGCAGAACGACTCACAGCAACAGACTCAGGACATCACTTGTGTGATAATGGACAAGATCGTGCAGCAGACCACAGTTACACGAGAAATAGACAGTCTCCGACAGGATGGAGCACGAGAGGACAAACGCCGCAACTTGGACATACTGACTACCGACAACAGTCGGATAGTCACGACTCCGGAACATCAACATTCACAAACGCAACTGCAAGAAGCAGTGACCACCCACGATCAACAGAATCTTCCAACACAGGTGACAGACAACAACTGCCAATGCAGTCTGATCTGCAGCAACGCCAACAAAGACGTATTGAACAGCAGAGATGCGCAGGTTCCGCCAACACAAGAAACGGCCACGAGCAATCAATGCAGTCCGACTTGCAGCAATACCAACAACAAAGTGATGGACCACAGTTCTGCACAGATTCCAACAATGCCAGGGTTGACCACGGACAATCAATGCAGTCCGACCTGCAGCACTTCCAACAACATAGCGATGGACCACAGTTATGCACAGATTCCAACAACGTCGGGGATGACCACGAACTGTCAATGCAGTCCGATTTGCAGCGACACGACTTGCGAGGCGGAGAATATAGAGGTCGATTCCGAGGAGGAGTTCTAGTAGAACAAGCAACACCAACCGAACCCGTCGTCTGGCCATTACGAATTCTGCAGTGGAACATACAAGGTCTTGGAAATAAAAAACACACACTTCAGGAGGCTGCAATCAGCACGAAAGCAGATATAATCGTTTTGGAAGAAACTCTTTTCCCAGCCACGAAATCCTTCAGATTAGCTGGATATCAGCACTATGTTCTCCCGTATGAGCAGGGGAGACTAAGAGGATTAATGACCCTAGTCAGAAACACCATACCCAGCAAGAAAATAGACTCAGTTTCATGTGGGGATGGAGTAGAGGTATTAGCAGTTACAGTGACTATGGCTAATTTTGAGCTCCTCATATACAACGTCTACAAGCCCCCTAGACGTAAACTAGAAGCAGAGGCAGTGCTTGCCTTGGCCACGCAGGAAAATTTAATTATTGCTGGAGATTTTAATGCTCATCATCCAGAGTTAGGTGCAACTGGGCCAGCCAATGCAGATGGGCGCCATTTAGCTGCAGCTCTGCGAGAAGTACCTGAAATTACACTTCTCAACACTGGGGAACCCACTCACATTCTAGGAGGTTCCCTTCATCTTACATTAATCTCCACAGCACTCAAGCATCAGGCGAAGTGGGAAGTAGACCCGGTGATCACTAGTGACCACTATGCTACTGTCACGACACTCAACCTGGCACGACCTCCTACACCTCCTGCGCGGCCTCGGTGGAATTTAGGAAAGGCCAATTGGAATGTATACCAGGAAGAACTTGAAAAATGGTATGCAACGTACACGCCACCTGAGGATTTGAACATACACGAGACCAATCTGCAGGAAGCCGTTGCAGCTGCTGCGAACACAGCTATTCCAATCATTATCACAGGTAACACGAAACGAAAGAACTATTGGTTCTATAGTAATGACGTTAAAGAACAGAACCACAGAGTCAATATCTTCAGAAAACATCTAAAGAGAAACCCCACACCAGAAGGAAGAACTCTGCTACGAGCGGTGATATCTGAAGCAAGGCGAGTTTCTAGAGAAGTAAAGGAGGCAAGATGGTTTGAGTGGTGTCAAACTCTAAATGAACATAGTAGTCTTGGCAAGATATGGGGTCAGATTAAAACTATATCAGGTCGACCAGCCCGGCCACAGGCATGTATTCAACCATTGCAGGAGGCTGAGAGACTTGCTCTCCAATTTGCAGAAAGAACAGCTTCATATCAGCTTCCTGCAATGGTCCGAAGGCAGCAAGAACACTTAAAACAAGAGAGGATGACAGTCATTCATGAGGGCATAGCTATAAATGACGAATGTGACTGTCCCTTCACCAAACAGGAACTAAGCAGAGCCAAAAAAGGTGGTAAGGACACTGCACCAGGTGCTGATAACATTACATACTCAATGATCGCACATGCAGGTCCTGCTGGAGACCGAGGGATATTGGACGTCATCAATGCGTCTTGGCAGCAAGGTAAACTACCGCCCTCTTGGAAGAAAGCAGACATCATCCCGATTCCTAAGCCGAATGAACCTGGCAATTACAGACCCATTTCATTAACATCATGCGTTAGTAAAACTGCAGAACGGATGGTCTTAAATAGGCTACTGTGGAAGACTGGAGACCTTCATAAACACATATTTGGCTTCACTAGAGGAGTAGGTACTGCAAACTGCATAGCAACATTACTAGGAACAGTTAACTCGGGTCCAGCTATAGTGGTCTTCCTTGATCTGGAAAAAGCGTTTGAACTTGCAAGCCCGCCAGCAATACTACACACCTTAGTTAAAAAAGGTGTGAGGGGGAAAATGCTAGCATGGATTCAAGATTACCTAAGTCACAGGTATGCCAGAGTAAAGTTGCAAGGACAAGTGTCGGACTACCACTTGCACGAGAATGGGACTCCACAAGGAGGAGTCCTCAGTCCTAGTCTTTTTAACATCCTTATGGAAAACCTTGTTACCATGTCCTTTACAGAAGGGGTTACATTGCTAAGCTATGCTGATGATCTAGCATTAGTCGTTACGGGTCCTTCACTTCTAAATAAAGCTCAAGGTGCTTTAGATCAAGTGGCATCTGAATGCAGTGTTTTAGGGCTAAAAATATCTGCACAGAAGTCTAAGGCGATGAGACTAGGTGGCAAGGCTCCAGACAGGCACCTACGCATTCAGGACATTAACCTTCAGTGGGTTACACAATATCGATATCTCGGAGTGTGGATTGATTTTAAAATGACATTCCATAAGCAAATTCAATATCTAAAGGAGAAAGCAAAGTCACGAATAAATATAATGAGAGCAATCACAGGGCCCCGTCTAGGAGCGGGACACAGAGTGTTGAGAATGTTTTACATACACGCCGTTCGTTCCCTGGTTGATTATGCAGCGCCTGCCTTACTCACTCTTTCTCCTGGTCAGTGGGCAAACGTTGAGGTTCTTCAAAATGATGCATTGCGAGTCATAACAGGTGCTCCCAGATGGACTAAAATCCTGAACCTAAGACTAGAGACGAAGCTAACGTCGATTGAAATAAGGGTAAAGGGGATTGCTGCGTGCATGCTGACCAAGATATTGACTAGACCTAGAATCAGTTCACTTAAAGATATGATCACTGGAGCACTAACTCTGGACGGAAGGGCCTCCGATGGCAACAGGTGGACCCATTGTGCGATCAACGCCATCGATACATTCGATATGGCAAACACAGTCACTGAGAGGGGTGTCGACGACATACATGCAGACTTTGTTATACAAGCCCCTTGGGAATCTCTGCCAGCAGACTTTCAGATTATGGCTCTTGACGGGAAGAAGAACCAGACACATCCTCATCTGCTCCGTCACTTTGCGCAGATGCATATAGAAGCAAACCTGGCTTCCGACAGCTTCACTTACTTCACGGATGGGTCAGTAGACCAACAGGGACAAGAAACCGGAGCTGCAGTTAAAGCAGGAAACTCTGTATATAGTTGGAGGCTCTCAAATGTACAGTACAACATCCCATTGATTGGTCTTCCTCCAAAATAATCTTTCCTGCCTCTACTCTTCACAGACGCCGTCTTGTAGAATCGGCTCTTATACACAATGTACCCAATATGAACTTGAGTCCTGGCTTTGTTGCTGTGGACTCTTCCCTTTCACAGTATATACTCAAATGCTCTAATCTTTCTAACAAACGTGACTTAACATAAGCTTACCCCTTCCATTTATCTTTCTTTCTCTTTCCTTTTCTTTCTCTCTTCTCCTCTTTTTCTGTTCATTGTCTTCTCCTACGCACCCTTGCTCCTCTTCTTATTCCAATTACTATCTCCTTCTCATTCGGTGGTTATAATAGGAGCTGCCTCGTATGGGCCAATAGGCCCTCTGCAGTTCTCATTATTACTACTATCCCCTACACCTTACTTTCCTCCTCAGCTCTCTCTTGCCTATTGCCTGTTTCTACCTCCTCTTCACAATCGACTTGAGAATGGTCCAGGACGGACCGAAACGTCGTCGTCCCTTCAACTTCTAGTGTGTGGTCTGGTCAACATACTTCAGCCACGTTATTGTGACTTATCGCCTGTATGAAGAATTGCCATAGCTTCGGTTCTTCCTGGTGTAACAAACTAGGCTGGTTGTAAGAATTATCCAGAATGTTTTATCTACAAGGGAGAATGGGAAGCTGGACTCGCGTGGTGACCAGCGGGAATTCGCGGTGAAAATAATTGACGCCTTATTCAGAGTTTTGTATAATGAACCATTCGATAGTATTCACTTATTTAGAGAAATTAGCCTTTATTCATTTTGTATTAAAATGGTATTGTATAATATTCCTGGTTATAGTACCGAGAGTATTCTAATTATTAGAAGACTTGAGTTAAGTCACCATCAGTGACGTCACGAACCAGATCTAAGTTGTAAGGCAGAGTGACCGGCGGTCATAGGTCATCAGAGTTGACATGTCCACTATTTCTCAAAGGTCAAATAGCCATTTTGGGATCGGGAATAGCTCTCCCTTAAGATGCTTGTGTAATTTAACTTCAGTTAAAATAATTCAACCAATCTGGATCAATTAAGTACAACAGAGGTTAATTGTTATAACTTAAACCTTGCTAAATAACCTGGTAAGTGATGCGGAACAATACAATGCTCTAGTCTGGGGAAGACCAGAGACAGGACAGTTAGTGTGGTTTGAGAAACAACTCGGGCAGGTGGCCTTACCATCTTCGGCCCCCGACAGCACGAACATCTAGCTGGTCGCCCAAGGTAGAGTTGCTTTATGAGTTCTTATAGGGATAGTCAACTCTTCTTCTTCTTGTTGATAGTAGGTGCAGTTTGCATGAAGGGTTTGTCCTCCCGATGACTGCACCAGTACTGATGTTGTTGGACGCGTTTATGTTGAAGATGATCGGAGCTACCAAGGTGCTTGTTGCGTTGTGCTGTAGTCATTGCTGTTCAGGTCAAGTAGGGAGTGTTAAAGTGACAGGGAGTGAACATCTTTAGATTTTGTTTTAGTTTTTCTTTTAATACATTAATTAGTTAATAATTTGCATTTTTATTATTTCCATGTGTTTGTTATATGTATATGAATTAGTAAAAGTTTTGGAGTCCCCTGGTAGAGAATAAAAAGTAAGAATATGGGTAGAGAGGGGGAAAAAGGTAGGCAAGGCCGTTCGAGAACACCCCCCCCCCCCGTGTTACACTGGATCATTATAGTTATAATTGCCGACCCAAACTTAACTTCTTCAGACCTGGGTACTGATCACTATATGAACTGAATAATTGAAAGATTATATAATGGGTTAAAGTACTCGAACCCAATGACCTTTGAAACTAAAATTTACTTCAGTGGTAAGCTAGTTGCATGTAATTTTAAAAAGCTTTTGGCGCATTTTGCATGCACCGTGCATGGGATTTTGCTTGCACTACCTATATAGTATGCAAACTTTGGATACTTCATGTTTAAGGTTTCTGGGAATAATTTGTATTGGCATGCGTGTACATTTATAATGCACACTCGCCTGGCGTTCCGCGATCGCTTTGTCATGGGTTCGTATCCTGGCCGGGGAGGATTTACTGGGCGCAATTCCTTAACTGTAGCCTCTGTTTAACTCAACAGTAAAATGTGTACTTGGTTGTAACAAGGATTCTTCGCGGCGGGGATCGTATTCCAGGGACCTGCCCGAAACGCTACGCGTACTAGTGGCTCTACAAGAATGTAACAACTCTTGTATATATCTCATTAGAGATTCTCCCTGAATAAAACTTGTAATCTTCCCCCCCCCCCCCAACATTCCACCAAGCACATATGGTGATGCATCATGTAAACCGTTTACATTGTGAGGTCTGCATCATCGGCTGGTAATGCAATCTCCCGATGATTGTTATAACAGAACTTCAGCCGAGCAATAGCAGACTACAGATTTAAGAGCCAAAAATGTATGTGTACGGGGGGGGGGGTAATTTGCAGATTTATTTATTTTGCAATTTTTCGTGTCGCGGTTGTGTCGAGTCTGTCCTTGCATGTATTTCATAGTGGGGTCGTGAATACTATAATCGGCATATTGAATTTTAGTTGGTTTATAATATAAACCTCATTGGACAATGTTACCAGATGAATCTTTTAATTTTTTTAGCAATTAACGGAATTAATTAACATTTAATTCCGTGTAATTGCTAAAATGTGCGAAATGTCTGTAATACTTGCTGGTAATACTTGCTTAACTCGAGCACGCGCCGTAATAAAACGTTAGTTTTTATTTACTAACAGAGTGCATAGCACCCAAGTCTGGAATTCGCGTAAAGATAGCCAGGTGTGATACTTAACTAGGCTCTCCTTCGCTTTATTGGATCTTGACAAGCCTATTGGCAGATTAAAAGTTAAGAGGGGTAAATTAGGTTCGGTTCTACACAATCTTGTACATGATAACATGTTAAAGCCAGCAGAGCGCTACCTTTAATAGGGGAAAATGATGCTTGAACGGCAACTGTAAACAACTTTTCATTTCTCAGCTGATTCCTCAACCTTTTGTTTATGTTGTCAGTGAAGCACTTTTATTGACGAGATATTTATTTCAATTTATATTGGTTTTGATCCGCGAAAAAATTATTTCATAATTGCTATAATTTTGTGGTTTTCCTATTCTCAAATATTTAGGCGTTCGTTGGTTTGTGTTTTAAGTACCAACAATATACTCGGCTTCCAACATAAATAATTTTGAATCTTAACTTGATTGCCTGATTCGTACTCCACTAGAGAAGAGATTGATACACTCCCAATCGTAGTTACATTTTTGACTAAACAAAATGTATAAATATTCATCAAACTCTCTAAATGTATCGGTCTATGTAAAATAATTTTATACATGATAATGAATGGAATGTATAATGGCTTGAAAATACGAGCAGATGAGAGTAATAAGGCGATTATTGATCGCATCCTTCAGTCGTCTTAATTCCCTCTTAACAATGTTTTAGGCTTTGTACGCATATTTTCGTATTCTATTAATTCTTTTTGTTCTTTGCAATTTATTTTAAAAGATAATATTGTTTTATATGAGATTGGTCATGGTTTTATAAGTGCTGCTATAAAGAAGAAATACTTGGACATTGTATTTTAAGCGCCCGCCATTACAGGGGATGTAACAAAGGGGTCGGGTAGGAATCTAGAATTTTATCACGATGAGGGATCTCTAACCCCCGCAAAACGTAGGAAATTGACTGCTGCCAGCTAGGTAAGTCACTAAACTTGACCTACAATGGCAGATTGTAGAAGTTTCTTCCCTAAATAACTGTATAAAGTGGAGCAAATCTTCAGGTGCGTTGCTGCTCAGTTGACATCCTTTCGCTGTTGTTGCCGAGAAGTAGAACTGCTTATAACAAGTGCAATTATACAATTCATTTATTTTCAGATTTGTATAGTAGTATCAATAGTGAGGATCTCTCGTTACAAGCTGAATACTAGAATTGCACGGTCGCCCGTTGTATTGATTGGGTGTGACGTGTAGTGGTATCTGGCAACCTCAACTGGCTTGAATTCATCGAAAATAGTGTTATTATATCGCTTATATACTTTATATTAGTGTTGAAGGTTAAGGGGTGAACATGCAGGGTCTGTCTTTATGAGAGTGATTGATTTTATAGCCTTTAATTATATAAGTACACCATATTTCTGCAAAGATAATCCTCCCAATTGAGATCACACAAAGAAAGAATAAACACAGAATATACATTTTTTTCACCAGATATATTTGTCAGTGGTGGTGGTAGTTGAGCATTGCTGCTGTTCTTGCATAATGCTGTCTTGTAAATTTCTCGGTTATTAATTTTGGCTCTTGTCTTTTTGATATTGTTGTGTAAACTTTAAAAGCTTTTTGCCCTGATGTCTTCTTTAGCCAATCTATCATTTCACATCTAAGATTAAAGAGCATACACATAGCTTCAAGTGACTGCTGATAATACATGCAACACCATTGGTGGGGGGGGGGTGGGGGTTTCAGTACCCATCCTCTGCCCATTCCTGACTGATCATCTGTGCAACTTCCTCTTTTCATTGGTATAAAAATGTTGACTATCTATTTAGTTTGTGCATATTAGCTTATTGAAGCACTGTTCCTTAGTTTCCAATATTCTTAATGCAGAATATACAAAAGAAAATGCAGTAATTTCTCAAGAATAAAGAAACGTGACTTCCTGCATTACGTAAATGTGGTTCAGAATATTGAATACAGACCCATTAGGTGCTGTGCTACTTAGGTATAGGATACCATACCAGGTATTAGGTATAGGATACCATACTAGGCATCAAATTGCCACCTTGCCTATGCAAAAAATTTGAAATATTTTATTTATGAAATTGCACTAAATTTTACTCTTTTCACTTGATTCCTAATCCCAGCGAATATTATAGCGTTCTTTTTTTTCATGCTTGCCTAGTTACCCTGTATCATATTTGTACCTTGTAAATTAATTTATTTAAATGGGATAAACAATTATTTTTTCAACTACACTAGTTAGTCTCTTAAGTAGAGTATTTTGTGTGTAAATCACAGGTAAAATACCCTCTGGGCAAACAGCACATTAAATGGCAATGGGTGCAGTAGTGTGCTTATATAAAATTGCCATTTAAATGTACAGTCAGATCTCTAGGGATCTAGATAATCACTTTTTTTCTAGAAATCTCATTGAATTGTTTGTACTGTACCTACCTCAAAAGTACAGAAAAGGACCATTATTTACCTCAATGTTTTTTTACCTTTTCCTAGATGTCTTGGAAGATATCCTGTAGGTATGGTATGGTACGGTACCTGAAGGCTGCTAACTCGTCTAGTACTGACAAACTACATACTTTCACGTGTCGGCAGCCTTCGAGTACCTTCAAACTGACTAATAAATTTTTAAGGAAAAAGTCGGAGCACATGTTCAGGGGAATAATCGGTGTTCAGTACTGTACTTCGGAGACGTATGCAATCTAGAAAAAAAAAATTACTACCCAGGATTAAAGTTTTTAAATGTCTTGCTTTCATGGCGTGGGAAGACATCAGCCCAGAAATACAAGTGGGATGCTACATTATAAAATGGTTTATAAACATTAAAAAACAATATTTGCTTTTCTTACGATGGGTTCTGTAGCTGATGGTATTGCCAAATTTGAAGTACCTGCCCACACATTTATGTAGTGTGCCGCCACACTACATAAATGTGAATAACTTAAGGTTATGGTATGAATGTTGTACTACACAAGTCTGACTTGCCTGTGGTGGTGGAGTTTTATTTATTTTTTTTATTTGTAATACTCTTTGATGACCTTGTTCATTCAGATTATTACATCCCTCATCATTCAGGCCAACAGCTCTGATGATGCAAATTGGCTGATCTCGCTTATCCTACAGTATCCTGTTTAGCTCCTTATACATTCTGCAGTTCTTCCATTAGTGTTACTTATATTTTACTAGTAAAAGTCTTGAGTCTGTTTTTGATGGTGCACTCTAATTGAAGCTATGGCACCCTTTCTCTTCATGGTTTTTTCACACATCTAACTTTTAATGCATTTTCTATATACTACTTTTTGATAATTACTTGCTTCCTCATTATATATTTATAATCTCTATCATCTTACTTTACCTTCTTCTGGGAGCTACCCATTAAGGGGTGGCCACAACAGAAGTTAAACATTTTATTACATCACTTCAAGCTCCTTGACTCTCCATCTTTCATACATTGTTCCTTTCCAAGGTAATGGTTGCTTTCCTGTACTGTGATCCCCT